AGCAGGAAGTCATACAAATTGTAATTTCCCAGTACTGTGTATGGATGCTTGAATGCTGCCCTGTTTTGACATGCTGGTCTTAGATTTCATTTATGGATGTTACGTGCGATGGTGCAGAGGAAGTGGTACCCTTGTGTGGCTTTCTCACCTGGTAGAATTGGAGTCAGTGCTGTTGTTCATCAGTGACCTGGCATATGGGACAGAGTGTACCCATTGCAGGCCACAGATAATGCCGAATTGGGAGTGGGGAATGGTCAGTACGCTGAAGGGCAGGGCTGGCATCTGGACAGACACTGACAAGCTGGAGGAACAGACTGGCAGGAACCTTGTGAAGCTCAGCAAAGATAAATGTAAAATCCTGTGTCTGGGGTGAGTAGAGGCTTGGGAATGACTGACTGGGAGGAGGAGCTCTGTAGAGGAGGACTTGGGGGGTCCTGGGGGAGAGGAGGTCATTTGTGTTTCAGCAGTGCACCCTGGTGAGAATGGAGCCTGGCCTCATACTGGGCATTAATGGTGTCTGCGTTTGGGCCCTCCATACAGACAAAGCTAACAACAAGCTGGAGAGGTGAGCAGAGGGCTGCTGAGAAGCTTTGGGATCTGGCACATACAGCATATGAGGAGAGGCTAAAAGACCTCGGTGGTGGGGTTTTTTGTTTGGTTGGTTAGTTTTTGTTTGGGGTTTTTTTGGCTTGAGAAGCCCAATGGTGGATCTAATTGCAGTCTTGCCCTGCCTAAAGGGCGTTACAGAAAAGATGGAGCCAGGCTGTACCGAGAGGCTCACAGTTTCAGGATGAGCAGCTGTCACAAGTTGCAACTAAGGAATTATACCTGGACAAATGAGAAAAACCCTTCGCTGTTCAGTCACTAATTACAGGAATAGATTGCCCAACTGTATCCTTGGAAGGCTTCAAAATTTGATTAGACAGGGCCCTGAGTAACCTGGTCTAACTGGGAAGTTAGCCCTGCTTTGAGCAGGAGATTGGGCTAGAGACCTTCAGAGATCCCTTCCAAACAATTTCTCTGTGGTTCTGGCTGAATGATGTAAAAACCCAATTTTTACTTGACTTTTAAAATACAGTTGAATCAAAAGTGAGCCTGGAAACGTGCACTGTAATATCTTACTGGTGACTTAAACTTCAAAGCGTGCATATCTTCTACCAGAAGTATAAATAATTTAGCTGGCTGTGAGGATTGTTTTTACTGGAGTGATGGAGAAAGACTGTAAGTAGGTAGGTAAGAGGAATCAGAAAAGGGATTGGTTTTAAATTTCCCTTCTAGAGACGGGAGGACATATGTAGAAGTACGGTGAGTTTCATGGGTTTTTGTTAGTTCACCAAACAGAACAGGGGAGAAGGAAACACGAATAGCGTCATCTTAGCCTGCTGTACTGTCAGAGAAAACTTAAGTTGAAAAACGGCTATTTAGTGGTACAGATGTTGTTGAGGTGAGATACACTGTTGCCCATGCTTGTGTTTGAAGTAAAAAAATCGACAAAAGCAATCTCCTGGATCCTGACTGGGTTCTTTTTTGTGGGTCTTAGCTTTTTAATGTAAAACATTGAAGCTCTCCTTGGCTCTCAGTAAATCAATAAGAGTTTGAACACTCTCACCGTGTTATTCTTTTAGATCTGTTTAAAATGTAGGGAGATCCTTAGTTAACTGGTGTTCAGTGTCATAGTGTAGAAGAAATGAACTGTACTGTTGTAACCACCATGACATAGGGGTTGTTAGTGCTGAACCCCTATAAGGTATTTGGATATAAAATCTGGAGGTGCTGATAAAAGAAGAGTAGGATGGCATCGTCTGTCCAATTTCTGTCCTGGTTCTTCGAAACAGAATAATTCAAAGGATACTGAGGCACTGAGCATCATAGCAGGGTTTGCATACAGGGAGGAAATTGAATTCCTACTTCTGTGTTTTGGCTCACCAGATGGAGACAGGACGGAATTCCTTATTTTCCTTCAGATGATATTTTCCTATAGGCAGAATTGCAAGTGTATAATTAGTTTTTCCCTGCAGTACGGACAGAACCGGAAAGGGAAAGTGAGAAAATATTAGAAATACAGATGTGAAAAAACTAGACTTTATGCATTTTCCTACAAGACACTTATCTGGCACCTTACAAAGTTGCCAAACTCTTCAGAGGTAGTGCCTGGATCAGTGCGTCTCTGTTTTGCTGGGGGCTGTAGAGATAGTAAGAATTTTCTAGGGAACAGTTTGAAATGATTTGACGCTTCTTGTCTGTTTTCCAGTAGTCAACCCAGAACGAACTTTTAAAAAAAGAATAATTAGGATCATGAGTTGCATTTTGGTTGTGATGCGTGTGCTGCAGTTTCCTGGACCGCACAGTGTCTGTCCTCCTGTGTGATGCTCTGCAGAAAGCACAGCGCAACTACTCGTCATAATCAGAAAACATACAAAATCATTGGAGCATGGGTGCTGTGAATAGTGACTTGAAATAGCGAAAATACAGTGCCGGCGTGTCAGCTAAGCAGTGCCATTCATTTTCATCGCTTCGATACCGAACACCCTTTACATCATACAACTGCTTAAACAGGGACATTTTGTAAACATTTGTTTTCAGGAATCTCTTGGGTCAGTCTCAGTGGCTCTTTCTGATTTCCTACTCTGAATGTCCAAGTGGCATCATCCCAGAAAGGAAGAGTTGTAGTTAGCTGAGTATAGAGTGACAGCTTGCAAAACCATTCTCTTTTCTTTCTGTTTTTTTAAGTGGGTTGTATAGATGAGTTTCTTCTATAGCAGCAGGCCTGTGGTAGCACATCATGAAACTATTGTAAACATTTTAAACAGTGAGTAAAATCACATTCAGCTTGCTGTAGACTAAATGTTTGATCAGGTCTCTCCCTCTTGGTGTGCTGTGGTTTTTGTTCAGTTCATTGTGTAACTAAAGAATATGCCCAAACCAACTTGTTTCTGGTCAAATTAGAGTATGTTTCTTACTTTGATTTTGGAAGTAAATGTAATACATTTGCATAATGCAACTTATTCAGAAAATCTGTTGGTTAATATACACTCTTTATTCTGCGTTTTGGCTGAATTCCAGGTATAAAAAAAATATGCTTCCAATAAAAAAACTCTGTTAGCAAATATGAATCAATTCACAGATGTGATCTTTTGATAATATTCAGATGTTTGCATGTTCTAACCAGATAGTGACGTGTAAGTATGTTATGTCTTCCGTAATAACGCCATCCTTTCAAACTCAGTGTGTGAAACGTCGTAAACTGTAGCAGTAACACCTTTAGGTTTTCATATAGTTCCTGACTAAAAGTTCCAAGTTTGTTTGGCACGTTTATAACCTATGCAGTACCTTTGTTAGTCAAAGTTCCTGGGTTTGGGAGTGGGTTTTTTTTTAATTTTTTCTGAACTTGAGCAACATTTGAGAGCACCGTGTCTCCCTGTACTTTGAAATCTGTGCATATCTGAGTAAGCTGCCCTTACCTTTTTTGCAGAAGATGCCCCACAGGGCAGATAATGCCTTAAGGTGGTGCAGTAGTGTAAGAAGAGAGATGTTTAACGTGCATGCTTACACGGGATATAGGAGGGATTGTTGGGTGTACATTTTGTGTTTCCATATTTCTGGTTCTTGTGTCTAAGTTGTGAAGATCTACCTCCTCCCCATCCTTCTCTCACCCAAGTCTAAGTGAATGAGCATCTAAAGCTATGTCCAGTTGTTCCCATATTTTTCTTAAGTTGAAATAAATTTGGTCTGAAAAGCATTAAGTTAAATTTGCAGCTATGCAATAGGCTCATAAAATATATAGAGCAGGTGACTAAAATTTAAACCTGTCTCTATGTCAAACGTTGTTGTTCCCTTTCTCACAGGGATTTTTATTTAATCTTCAGCAAAAAGGATGCATTTGCTAATGTCTTTGCATACACTTGAGCAATAGTGTTGTCATTATTGCTGATTAACTGAAATGTTTAGAAAACATTTTTATTAGCAAAACAGCTGAGACCTCCTTCCGTTGTCACTAAACCGATACAGGCAAAAAATACTTTCTATGGGGAAAAAGCAAAGAAGAAATGAGTTGTTACTGAAGATACTAAAAAAAAAACGAGTTGTTACTGAAGATACTAAAAAAAAAACCAACAAACAAACCCACCCAGAAATTGGTCCATTTAGCTTTTGTACTGAAATGCATGTGCAGTTTTTTGGCATAGATTCTGTTCCTAATTTAGTACATTCGAGCATGTTTCAGAAATAGGTCGGCTGTTAAATTCGGATGTGGTCCGTACTGGGAAGTAAGGCTGAGAGAAAAGGAAGGTCATTGTCGATTCTTTCTCTTTTTCCTGATCCTTGGGTGTGTATTGTAAGGAAAAAAGAATCACTGTGATGTGTGTGGCAAGAAACGAAAGTCAAATGCTGTCTTTGTTCTATAAATATCCTTAGAATAATTTTAAGAAATAAAAACCAAAACACAGAGTCAGTGTTTTTAAGTCTACTCCACAGCTTAGTGTTCCTTCCAATTCTTACATCACTTTTATGTTTAATATATTTTTCCAGAGGAATGATCACTTTTGTTTACAGTCTGTATCTTGCATTCATAGCTACGTTTCTAAGGCCTGTTCCAGCATGCTGTTTCCTTTCTTTATAAACCTAGATCTACCCAGAATCACTTAACAAAACCAAAACAAAACATTTTTTAAGGTTTGTTTCTTGGTATTGTGTCAGTGGAAAGTCTTTTTCATCATGTGGAAGAGGTGTGTAAATATAATTGTGGATTTAGCGCTGAGCGTAGTCTTAACAGCTTAAGAAAGAGGAGATAGTAAAATTATTTGAACTGTATTTTTATAGATGCTTTTGTTGAGAGAAAATTAAGTTTCTTTTTTGTTCAATCTGTTTGTTTACTGATAAGTTATAAATAGCCTGTTCTGTTTATTGGGTTAACTTCTAAATGCTATAGAGATGTAGAAAGGAAAATGCTCAAAGATGCATTAATTTTATTTTTTTTTCCAAAATTTGAAACAATTGCACATTGTTAATATATCATTAGTATTTAAATTTGGGTGTACAATCTCTGGTAATTTATGAAAATGGGAAATTTATTGAAATTGGCTCTTCAACTCTGAAAAAAGATATTTCAATGTAGTACTACAACAGCAATATAATCTGTAAATGATCAGAATTAGGATCGATATGTGTTTAATGAGTATTTTAAGAGAAAATAAACCAAATCTTTTAGTTATATCAGTCTATGAAACTGAGTAGACCTCAAGTTGGCCAACATTTATGCTCCTGATTAATTTTGATATCATAGACCTACTTGTTCATTTGCCGAAGCAGTTCTTTGGCATCATAAAATAATAGCCTTTTGTCTTCAGAATAGTACTTCTTTTAGGGATAGTTGCAAGATCAGGTTGAAACTCAAGAAATTTAGAGACGGCACATAAACTGCCCTTGTTACAAAGAATTGCATTTGCTTATATTTCTTTTAAAGTTTTTAAATTTTAAAGTTACTTGGGGGGTCTTTTTCTGCTCACATTGATCTTTCCGTATGATCAATAAAATGAAGATGGTTACGGGTAACTACGTAAGATAACTGTACCTTTTTATTTATAAATAAGGTGATACGTGCAATTGTGCAGAAAGTCTCACATTCTGTAAACAAGTGGCTTATATATTTGTTTTCTACCTTTCAGCTGTACTTTCAGGTTTCCCAGCACAAACATCAAGATAACATTCACAGCCCTGTCCAATGAAAAGAGAGAAAAACAGGAGGCCCCGGAGTCCCCAGTGAAGCCAGTGCAACCCCAGATCTCTCCCTTAACAATAAACATTCCAGACAACATGGCTCACCTGATCAGCCCTCTCCCTTCTCCCACAGGAACTATCAGGTATTTAAACCCTGCGGACTGGGTATGGGGCAATGTAGAGTGACAGACTCCAGACAACTTCATAATTCATTTTAAATACTTTGCTTTTTTGATAAAAAGTTTAGTTGACAGCATTACCTGTCTTGGAGAAAGCCAGTGTTCTGCTCACTAATAGCATAGTTGCATGAACAGTCTTTAATATTCCAATTCAGTACGATAAATGTGTAGCAGTTTGCTCAGGAGCCTGGCATTCTTGAAACAGCAAAGGAGCACAGCTTTTTCTTGCATTCCAGGTGATGTAGATTGCTTTTTATTCTTGCGTGCTTATGTAAACAAGATGTCTAAATTGACTATTTGTAGACATTCTGATAGTCGCTGTCCCCCTGAAACTTATCATTGGAAAAAATGGGTTTTGGTTGTCTTTACTGTGGAAAATAGACTGATCTCTTACTCCAGAAGATTTCTTATTGATTAATCATTGCTGAAAGTAAACAGATGTAAGATGTGGAGTTTAGTGTAAGGAAGTCTGCTGCAGGGGAGGAAATCTCGTTTTCTTACTGCTGCTTAATTTGGTAATTGTAGCCATTTTCCAACTTGTTATTTGGTACCAAACTCAAACATAAGCAAACTGTCTTCACAAGCTGGTAAAATTAGTTTAGATACAATTTTTTAAATTCATAGAAAGTTCAAGAGCAAAAATTTTAAAGGCACTGAAAGTTGTGTTTCAAAGTCACATACATGCTTTTTGATAGTTTTTGCTTCCTCTATCATTTCCTGTACCTTCACTTGAGTGAAGGACTGTTGATGCTTGATTTTTAAAAATGTAGATCTTGTTAATGAAATTTGAATGTAAGGATAATTGACTTCTTTCATGCTTGTCAAGATCTTGATCTCAATATTGTAGTGCTTAATGAGATCTATATAAATGGTGGAAGCAGAGAGAAAAGAGATCTAGATTCGACTGTATAACAGGTTTGCTTTCTTATTAAAATTCAGGGAAAACATGTCTTGCCCAAGAAATGACAGAACAGTTCATAAATATTTCAGATAATATCACATATAGCACCACAGTCTTTGCCTCACTGTGAATTTTGTAATTCTCTTCAGGGCTTTCAAGCACCTGTTGAGTATAGTTTATTCAAAAAAAAAAAAAAAAAAAAAAAGAAAAGACACGGCAGTTTTGTGTCTATTTTGAGAGCAAAGCTTGACAGTTTCTCTTCAAATCATCCTGTTTTGTAGAAGACTTGTAAACTTGCTTTGATTAGACCATATGTGTCGCTTTGTCAATAGATTCTAAAGTGAGCACAGTAGAGGGATGTTGTCGTTGATCTGTGAAAACATAGAACAGCAGTGACCTATATTTAAAAAAATAAATTACATGCATGTTTTGGCTCTAATCAAGGATTCTTCCATACAGCACTTAAAAAATCCAATCTCCCTTGTATAACGTATCACTAGTAGCAACTTGCTGCTGGATTTCTTGGGATGTGAAACTCAAAGAATGTTTTTTATATATATTGCCCAATCTACAGTGCCTGCCTTGTTTCTGTACACAAAAAAGGGAGGTAGCAAAAAAACTTGAGTGTTTGGACAGACAAACAGAACTTGGAAAATGTAGATTTGTTAAAGCTCTATTGCATAAATCTAAATAACATTCTCTAGCTTTATTGGTTACTTGTTGTTTTGAACCATGGATTCAAGTGAGGTTAACAATTGTCTTTGAAGATAAGGCTGGTTCTGGGGGGCAGCAGGCTTTGTCATTCTGATTTTTAGTTAACTCTTTTGGAATTCCTGAGGACTGTGTTGAAATCAGTTACAGTGTGAATTGCTGAGAACTATGTGTCTTTGTAGAGAGCTGCCAAAATTTTTTTTGGGGAAGGGGACAGACATCACCCACTGGCTGTCTCTTTCCTGTTGGCTAAATGGAAATTGTGCAGCTGTGATTCCTGTGGACTGTGCAAGGCAGGGGGACAACTGTTAGAAAGATGTTACAGTGAACTTGTTTGTAATTTTATCTTTGTTTTTCTGGGATGAATAGCAAAATGTGAGCTATCAAGAGCCACTGATTTCATTTGTTTGACACTATCTTTTGCTTCGTAGCAGTGTATCTGCTCTGTTGGCCTCATACAGCATGAAATTAGATGAGTCACTGCTGATGCATCCCATTTATAGATAAGTTTTTGATTCTTATACATACGTATGCGTATGTATGTGCACATACCTGTAAACACTTAAAATAATGTTGGTTTTGATGTAAATGAGAATCAGAACTTTTTTCCTCACTGCTTGCTGTGTTTTTTCAAATGTGCAAAAATACTGCACAGGAGAGATGATCTTTTTTGAGCAGACCAGATACAAGCATATGGCAGAAATTTCATGCAAGATGTGTTTCTTGTTTCAGATGAGTGTCCTTAAAATTTGTGGTTGCTTGTGTAGTTGAAGTGGACTTCTCTGTTGGTGAATCTTACCCAAATACAATACAACCTAATAAATCAGTTAATCCTTTTTCCTTTGAGGAGGAAGGCCTGTGCTCCGTTCGACAGGTTTCTTCCTGCAGTGATTTTAATTTCCATGGATGAGTTAGAAAGGCTTGGAAGACGAGGTTTATAATGGAAATACTGACAGACCCTTAACTGTAGTCTGGAAGCTCTGGTAGTGGGCTTTTCTGCAATAAGAGCTTTTTGATTAGACATAATGTGGTGATATACTGTATAACAAAATAGTAGGATCTTCTTTTTATGCTCTACAGTGCTGCAAATTCCTGCCCATCCAGCCCCCGTGGTGCAGGCTCTTCAGGGTACAAAATGAGTCGTGTAATACCATCTGACCTACATTTAATGGCTGACAATTCACAGTCGGAAAATGACAAGGAAGCATCCGGTGGAGATAGCCCAAAGGTAAACATGGTCTGAAATCAAACCCAGAAGTTACAGCTTCAGTGGATGTAAGACTTCTAAATTGTGTTTGCTGAAGTATCTGCGCTAAGTCATAGTTTAACATTGCAGACTTCAAAAAAAAATTTGTAGATTTTTGTGATTGGATTTATTTTTGACCTCTCTTCCCTTTGGGGAGGGTCTATATGTATTTTCAGTTATATAGCTGTTTATTGAAAATTCTTCACTGTTGTATGTTTCTCTGAATTTTTTTGTATTATCTTAAAGTCTGCTAATCAGAAGAGCAAAATTGTCTTAGGTTTTCTTTTTGCCTCAAGATTTTGGTTGTCCAGAAGTGCCTTAAATCAAGCTAACTGTGTTTTGTAACTTTTAATTTAGAAGAGGTTGTGTATATCTTTAAAGTTTATTGATGCAGACTTTTCTTTTCTTGTACAGGACGACTCTAAGCCACCTTACTCCTATGCACAGTTAATAGTACAAGCAATTACAATGGCACCTGATAAGCAGCTCACACTAAATGGAATTTATACGCACATAACTAAAAATTATCCATACTACAGGACAGCAGACAAGGGCTGGCAGGTAAACTTGATTTCTGTAATTTTTTTTTTCAGTTGTAATACTGGCAGCTAATAAATGATCATAAGAAGTCAATTGGTGAGCCTAACAGCCCTTTGTAAATAGAATTTTTCAAACAAGTGTGGTGTCTTTTTCCTGCTTATAAGTTCTCCAACAAAGTAGGCGATTTACATTATTCTGTATTTGAAACGTTGTTTTATTCATGGAGTGGTATCCTCTAAATCTTTAGGAGGGATACAGATAGGCTTTGGGGAAGGAAAGAACAGTTGGCACTGTGGATTTAAATATCTGTATGCTATCCAGGAATGTAGTTGTGTTCTGTAACTTATAATTGTGTAAACATCCATATTGTTATCTTGAGATAAAACTAAGATATTAAATGTTAGAAGTTCAGTTTTATTTGAAAACAGTGATCTTGACCATGCAATACTGCGAAGGAACAAGTGTCTCTTACCTGTCGTTAGTTTGCAGTATTATGGGCCCTCGTTTATTTGTGCAGTGTAGTCTGTTTGTGAACTTAATTGTTTCTGAACCGAGTTAGGCCAAACCCTTCACTTCTACAGAATTGATTTCTGCTTTCTTTTCACTTTTAAAGGGACCAGCCTCAGCGTTTGCCAGGATGACTAACCCAGTATGAATCAGTCTGGCACAGTCTTTCCAGATACACATAAAGGTTCCATGCCTTTGCTGCTGTTTTTAGTTTCAGCAAGGGACAGAAGAGCACAGTTAGCAGGACTGGCCAGTTCGCCCGTATAACGTTCAGGCTGCACTGTTGATCATGGAGTATCAGTTTCACTGTGGTGCTGCTTAGTACAGGCATGATCTGCAACAGAGGCATGCTCTCAAGTTATTTTCAGGGAAGTAAAATTTGGAGAGACTGGGGGAGGGGACAAGGGAGGAAGCATTAATACTCTACTTGCTGAACAAGTACAAGACTAAAGAATACATGCCTTCTCAGTGGAAGAATAGATTTTTAAATATTAATCACATACTGATTTGTCGTAGGGCCTATATGAAGTTGAATCACTCTTAGAGGCATTCCAAGGTCACTGGGAATGGGACTGTGCCTAGCTTTTTGCTATGGTTTGGCTAGTGAATGGTTTAGCTGTTGTTGTGGCTAGGAAGTCTCTAGGAATTTTGTTTCCCTTTGACAGATAAGCAATGCAGAATCCTGGCTGCAGTCATACTAACAGATCTGATTTAGCAACAAGATTCTGTTATAAAATGTTGGTGTGCTTTTTGCTTCCTGTTCTGAAATACCTTGCATATCTGTGCGTAGAATGCTTCTTTATGTAAGGATCATGGAACCAAACAGGTGCTTACATTGTAGTGCACAGATAAAGAATTCTGCCTTAGAACAGTGTATGTATTTAGATGTATAACACTTCGCAAAACCAGGGTGGTAGACACAGCAGACACAATATGTTCTTCAGTAATTAGCACCTGTTCATAAAAGTAATTGGAAAAGCTGAAAATTCGATGCAGTTCAGTCACTAGTCATGTAAAGTACTGCTGTAGCACTAACAGGTGTACCTCGTGTGTGAATAGCTCTGGTAGCTTTTATCCATCAGGTGTTAGATTACAGTTAGGGTGACTTACAGTTGTTTTAAATAGTATTTGAGGCTATATATGCACATATTACATATGCACAAACATAGAGCACATACATGTGGATAGTATCCAAAGCCTATGCCTCAGTAAGTAGCATTGAAGTATTTATAGCCTTTATTGTGTAAAGGTCTCATTTTTTTGAGGACTTGAAGACTCCTCTTCCTGAACTTATTTTAGCAGGTACTGTTGGATCCACTCTTCTATTCTAGCATATGGAGAAATAAATACAATTTATAAACACGTTCTTGGTATCTTTCTAGTTCTGTTTCAATTTTGGCAGGGAAAACCATTTCTGATTTCATCAGTTTGCATTTAAGAAACCATACATGGTTATCATTGCTTTAAGTTTTCCAAACTTGCCATCAGGGTCACGAACTCAGACATTTGAGCAGGATTTGCATTTGATTTTGCGAATTTTTGAAGAGCTTTGGTTAACGTAAAGCTTTTCCTCCGTTTTTCCCCTGTTCCCCCCCAAATATTTGGACAAGTATGTATGCTTGTCTTCATTTTCTTCTCGTTCAGTGAAAAAATTTAGAGAGATTTGGGGTTTATATGTCTTTTAAAAAAATAAAATAAAAAAATATGTGTAAAACCAAGCATAGATAGAGCCACTTCAGAGGGTATAAGCAGTTCTCTACATCTCTCTCATCGAAGAGTTGTGTATGTTACAGCAAAGTGAGGATAAAGTCATGTGCAAACTGGAGTGCAGTAAGGAAGATCTTGCTGAAGAGCTGTTTTAGGACCTACTGCCATTTGTTGTTTTTCTAGACACACTAAATCCTTGGCTCCTTTGTTGAGACAGGCTGGACTGTGCGTGAACTCCCAACAATCTCGCTGCATTTGGAACTTGTGTAGTTTAACCTTTTCTTTCTGCGTTGTGGAACCATAACAGGATTATCACACAAGATCAGAATCTGTATATGCTGTATTTTACTGGCCCTCCTAGGATGAACTGACGTTTTCTTCAACACCTGGGGAAGGGTGGTGTATGAAGACTGATAATTTTTCTTTTTCTTTCTCTTTTTTCTTTCCTTTTTTTTTTTTTAAACAGCATTATGCTGAAGTATTTGTAGTGTTCTAACAGTTTGTTGCAATCACCATGTTTCTCATTAGAGAATTAAATGGGATTCCTGTTATTGCTGCGTTAGCATACTGTTTATTTAATTGTTGGGAAAGATTTGAAAAATGCAAGAGTCATTTCAAGTTTGTGGCACCGTCTTTGTAGAGTTCTGAGTTCTGTCGAGTTGAGGAATTAAAGAGCTGAACCCTGAGTCTCCTGTAGTATGAACTGCTGCAGTAGGCCACGTTCTGACTTGGAAAAGTTATATGAATTCTACATATTTTTTTATGTTCCATAGAATTCAATACGTCACAATCTCTCTCTGAATCGTTATTTCATCAAAGTACCACGTTCCCAGGAAGAACCAGGCAAAGGCTCATTCTGGAGGATAGACCCTGCCTCTGAAAGCAAATTAATAGAGCAGGCTTTTAGGAAAAGGCGGCCTAGGGGAGTACCTTGCTTTAGAACCCCTCTGGGACCACTCTCTTCTAGGTAAGGAAACACAGATGAACAAAAAGACTATGGCTGTTGTTTAATCTTCAAGCTGATGCAGACTTGATGGTTTTGGATACAGTCACAAGTTTAGTAATTTAATTTCATCCAGACTTGGTATTTGAGTTCTGTATTGTATTTACTAGGAGACTGCCCCATACACAAGGCTGGTTTTTATTGCTTATTTTTAGTGCTAAAGAACTGACTCAGTTTGCATAACTAACTATCAGATGGTTAATGTAAGCAAGCCTTGCTGTACCTTTGTTTTTTTTTTACAGAATTATAATTTTAATTTCTAACTGCCATCTATTGCCTCTTAAAACTGTTTGCAAAGAAAATTCTCCAATATCGGCTACCATTTTATTGAACTTGGAGATGACAATTATGTACTTAGTTTGATAATGTTCAAGCAGAATTCATGGTGGGGAAATATGTGGGTTTAAATTATTCCCTCTGTAAAATTATGGCCTTTCTGCTGGTGCAGATCTCTTCTTACTTGCCCTGTTTCACAGATTGCTTAGAGAGTCTCCCCGAGAAGGCATCCAGCCACCACTTCTCCATTAACTGTACCTGAAGTTTGCTTTTAAATTCTGGCCCTGTTTAAGAGAAGCTTTTTAAAAAGAGATCGTCAGAACTGCTTTTGATTTAACTGTACTTGCCAGGAGGCAGAGGTGCCCTCCTGTGGGCAGTGTGTGTTATGGTCTCTCTAGAGGAAGGTCACTGTTTTTAGCAGTTCAGAAGTTAAAACACGTCAGCTGCTGCTTTCATTTTTAAATACAGAAGTGCCCCAGCTTCTCCTAATCACTCTGGAGTGTTGTCTGCGCACTCCAGTGGAGTCCAGACCCCCGAGAGTCTGTCCAGGGAAGGATCTCCAGTCCCCATGGAACCTGAGCCTAGTGCTATCCAGCCAAAACTAGCAGTAATACAAGAAGCGCGATTTGCACAGAGTGCCCCAGGTGAGGAATCCTGACACAAGCGTTTGGGGGTTGGACGTGGGAGAGGGCTAATATGTAAATGTTACCAAGACTTCACACATATACAAAACAAAACAGTCAATATTTAACCTCTTAACACTTAGAGCAAATCTTTGATGAACATGTAAGCCAGGTGAATTCTGTTCGTGTACGTACGGACTGTTAGCTGTGTGCTGTTCCAGCACCCTTGATCACTTCATTCCTAGGCAGAGATTGAGCTTCTGTCCTCTATAGGACTGTACAGTCTTGTAGCAGTTGTCACTTCCTTTCAAAACGTATTCTTTCTGGTTTAGAGAAAAAAAAAAAAAAACAAACAAAACCATACCGACAAAAAACTTTAGATTACATGGGTTACAGAAATAAGCAAATGTCTTGCACGCATCTGTGATCATGTCATCCTTTCAAAGGTGGGGATAAAAAGAATTGATAACGAGAGAAAGAATAAATTTGCATGATAAGAATTTTCCTATTTAAAACAAAAAAAGAGCATAAGGCGTGATGGGATGAGGATGTATTTGTTTAGTTACCTTGGCTCATATACTTTTGCCATCCATTTTCTTGGTGATATTCTGGTACTACAGAAGTGCCAGTGACCATTCTGTGGCAAAGGCAAACATGATCCTAAGCAGAGACCCCAGGCTTTCCCTGCTGCGTTTGTCAATGCAGACGTGCTCCCCACAACACCTGAAGCACACACATGTTCCTGTCTATGGATAGGAGTTTTACTAAATGAGTATTAAGTATGGCGTTGGTAGTATAGCTGCGTTTCAGGGGAGTGGGGGTGGCTTTTGCCCAAATGGTGTGGGGGTCTGACTTAGTTCATACAGCACTTACCTTGAGTACATGGAATAGCCATGTGTCATAATCTTCACGTCTGGTTATATCTTTTGGATCATTCAAGCATTAGTGAAGGTGGTCATTAATTCTCTGAGGCTTTAGTGTTAAGTTTAAAAGAGTGACTGGCTTAAAAGAAATAATGAAAATTGGCAGCCTAATTTTGATCTCTTTCTTGGTAGGATCACCTCTATCTAGCCAACCAGTTTTAATTACTGTACAACGGCAGCTACCACAAACTATTAAACCCGTCACCTACACTGTTGCAACTCCTGTGACAACATCGACATCCCAGCAGCCTGTCGTTCAGACAGTGCATGTTGTCCACCAGATACCAGCTGTGTCTGTCACAAACGTGACTGGATTAGCACCAGCAAACACTTACACTGTAGCTGGGCAGGCAGTAGTCACGCAAGCTGCGATGGTCACCCAGCCCAAGGTAGAACCTCAAGAGAATGGAGACCACAAGGAAGTAAAAGGTGAGAAACTGGGGGTTTAGTTGTTTTGACGGCTCTTTCTGCAGAAGGATTATTATTTGAAACTTGCTTCCAGATGAACGCTTGAGATGTTTGGCTAAAACTGAAGATTTTGCGCCACAGGTTCCCAGATATGTTGGAGCTTGTCATAAAACAGTATACTTTTTTGGTGAGGGTTGGTTGAGTGAAAACAAATGGTTCTTTAACACTTGTTTTTAATGATGTTTTATCTGTTTTTCAGTTAAAGTGGAGCCTATACCTGCTATTAGTCATGCCACAATAGGAGCTGCTAGTCGTATCATTCAGACATCTCAGACCACGCCGTTACAGACAGTTACTATAGTGCAACAGGCACCTCTAGGTCAACACCAGCTACCAATAAAAACTGTAACGCAGAACGGAACGCACATAGTACCCATCACCACTGCCATACAAGGACAGGGCAACGCTGGTACGTATTGTGTCAAGATGCTCTCTTGCTTTACGTGTGTTAAAACCTCAATGTGACCAGTGCTGAATTTTCAAATTCTGTTCTCATGTCTTCCGTAGTTATACTGAAAACTAAGTTCTACAAAAATTAGATTACTGCCTTGTAAGGAATTGTTCCTTCCCTGTTGGTAAGAGCCAGTGTCGCTTTTCATTGATGATTACCTGAACAGCTATTTATTCTCTTTGTGGTCATTATAGGGATGTGCTTAGTGGTGACAGCCCGTCCTCCCTCCTCATTAAACCCAGGAGATAAACAAGTTTTAAAAGAAGTTCCTGTAGAACAGTGCCATTAAAATGGTAACTGCTCCCCCGTTGATTTGTCAAGAACCAACCAACAGGAAAACAAGACAGAACTTGCTTGTGGGTTGGCTTTTTGAACTGTTACTTTTCATTTTGTTTTTATTGAACCTGCACAAAAAAATGACAAAAATCCTGTAAGATTTTGAGATTCTTCTGGTCTGAATACCACCTTTCCCCTCTCAGACTCAGCAGTCCGAGTGGGTAGTAGTACTTCTTCATAATTTTCATATCTTCACACTTATTCACAGAACTTTCAGTTTTGATTTGCTTTCCGGGTGCATAAAGGCTTGTTCTGACATTTTCACTTTGAGATGTTATCTGATACTGAAGTATTTTTTTTGTCATAAAATATGGTTATGGAAAGTTTTAGGCTATGTTACGTCAATTTATTACATGCATTTCTTCTCTGAAGTCTTTCTAGTGGAGCGAATTATGTGCTTTATTTCCTTTCTACTCTTCTTCCATCAGTGACATTTGTAGGTCAGTGTTGTGTCTGCTTTCACTTCATTTCCAGCTTAAGTAAAGTAAAAGAAATCACTGTCAGGCTTCATGTGCACTTTTTTTGTTGGAAGGGATGTATGAATTGAGCTGAGAGTCACATGAAGTATACTGAAAAGTTATTTTTAAAAGTAAGAAATAGTTCTTTTTTTACTGGACTCTTGACATTCACTCAACTGATATCAGCATGTTTTCCTTGGTAGGGAAGCCTGGTGGCTGCTAGATGTTTTTAAGGAACATGGTTGGATACAGTAGCAGAATTGTCTTGCTTCTCAGTGTCTCACTGTGTGTGGTAGGGGTGCACGTGCAGTGATGGGAGTTTTCACTCTGAGATTCCGGGGCTTAAATAGCTCACAAGATGTTCGTATTTTGAACAGCAAGTGAAGTGAATTCCAGGTCCTGGTCTCTCCTAAACGAGCAAGAAACCAGGTAATTCTCAGGCAGAGCATCTAAAGGGGGTACTAGGCCTACAGAAATACAGATTTGTGTGTGTGTACGTCTGCGTTCACATGCATACATCTACATATGTCTGTGTTCATATGAATACATCTGTATTTACACACACACATACAGATTGTCTTTGCAAAAAGATTTGTGCAATCTGAAAGCTCAGAAATCCAGAGCAGTTACCATTCTTTGGACATTTTCTATTTGTAGTAAGAAGGTGCCTTCAGTTTTTATTCTCAGCAAAACAGTTTAGCAGTGCTTTTTACTACCTGTCATGCTAACTGAAATCTGTGAAGTCAAAAATAAATTCAGGTCTCTTATTGCAGAATAAAATTACGGAACTAGATATTCTTTATTTTGACTTTTAGTGTAGATTTCAAACATCGTTGTTCTTTTGTGTATTTCATATTTCCGTGTATCAGCTGTGGCTGCAACCAGCAAGTCTCTTTCTACGAAACAGACACTGGAGTGAATAACACAGTAGTAGTCTTAATGCGTGTTTGAAGATGAGTGGTAAACTTCTTGTTTTTCCTTAAAGTAAGGCATTTTATTCAGAACTAACAGTCCCTATGGCATCTGTTCAGAAATTGTACAAGGAATAGCTTTTGTAACAGAAGGTGAATGACTGTTTAGATATAAGAACAAATTATTTTACCGTTGCAGTGAAGCTTTTGCATCAGGTAAATATTTTCTGAAGTATTTGTTCTGCCAGTAAATATGAAGTACAAAAAGTTTGCTTATGTGCAGAGGCGATATTCCAGGTATTTTCTAGGATAGCTTACTCAGAACAAATATAACACATTTAGAAAAGAAGAATTCCTTACAGGCTTCGTGTTTAAGCTCCACCAACAGGGAATGCTGTAATAAAGTCAGCAGAGCGGTGGTGCTGATGAAAGAGAGCTTGTGTAAAAAAGCTGGTGTTTTGATAATGTTTAGAAAAGTTTTCATGAAATGCAGTGATGAAGTCCATGTGTAATTTTGCATTGTTTGCAAAGACAAGGAATAGTTGGTTTAATAAAGTCAGGGTCGGTACTGAGAAACAGACTGCTGACAAGTTGAGGGAAGGAGCCTTTGGGTGTCTTGGAAGGTTTGAAGGACTGTGCTTGCCCATTAATGGTGACTTCTACTGTCTCTTCCATGGAAGGAGAAAGATTAAAATCTTGTGAAGGATGTTTGCACTATATACATTTCTATTGATCTAATTCAGTTGTGCACTTGAATCTGATCAAATACATGATTTCATAATACCACTGCTTGTTAAAGCACTGCCTTTTCCTTGCGGTATGGGTAAAGGCCTCGTGGTCTGTCAAAGAGGAATTGCTGCTTGAGTCGTGTGCACGTCATGGCTGTGGGAATTGCGTAGCTTTTCTTAAATAATTTATGGCCACGGATGAATATGACTTGGTGATGCTCTCCTTCCAGGCCAAGTAAAGCATTCTGCAGTGATCTGCAGACATGCCAGATCCTACTGAAAGGGTTTTTTTAATTGACTTCCCAGTTCTGTCCCAAAATGCAGTGTAGATTGGCTTTCAGTCGTTTAATCGTTCTCTGTCTTCAGCTCCCCCTTGACAAAATGGAGATACTTCCCTGTTCTCCTGCCTTTGTCCTAATCTGCATGAATGTTGAGTGATTGGGGTAAATGTCTTTCGAGTTTGTGCAAAGATGAAACAATTGGACCTGAATCTCAACTGGGATCGCTAATACCCCACGTGGTACGAATAAAGGAATCCATCGTTTCAATGAAAATGCAAGTTTGCTTTCAGTATCAGCTGTTTTGACAAGGATTAGAGTGCTGAAGTTGTTGTTATCTTTTTCCAGCTGCTGCGAGTCCGCTGCATATGTTAGCAACCCATGCGTCTGCGTCGGCATCGCTTCCAACAAAGCGCCAGAACGGAGACCAGTCAGAACAGCAGGACCTCAAACGTATCAAAACAGAAGATGGAGAGAGCATAGTCATAGCTGTTAACATGGACACCCCGTCGGTGGCAGTGAGTGATAAAGGCAGCCAGAACTAGAAACTTAGGGGAGTTTTCTTTTTTTTTTTTTTTTTTTTTTAGAAAAAAAAATATAAACTCCATGGTGCCAAAAGGAGACACTTAAATATAACACCTAAAATGTTGGAACATGTTCTCACGCAGTGGGGAAAGGGGCCCTGTGATCAGACTTCAACTTTCAGCACTGAAAAAAACCCAACACAGGTGGCCTTAAAACTCGGTAATTTAAAGTCAAACTGCAAACCATCTTGTTCCAGAGGCTGTGACCCCCGCTCCTCCCCGCCCCCTGCCGAACTGCGTACACTGAGAAGTACAGTGTGGGGAGGGCTGCAGCTTTACAAAAATCCTGATCAGATGATTTGAAGGACTGAGGATCTCAGTGTAACGGCAGCATGATAAGCGCTTAGTGTGAACTGGTTTCAAACGATTGTATATTCCTCAAAGGGAACAGAGGCAAGGAGCCATTTCCTACATCTTGGCAGCTAGCCTTTCATAACGACCTACCCGATGCAGTTGTTGGTAGATATGCAGTATTTTGTTGTTCACATGTGGAATTAGAAATTTTTGAGGTGTATTTTCATTTCTTTGCAAAATAATGGGGTCTTTGACATTTCAAATCACTCCATTTCTACTCCGGAAACTTTGGAATCACACAATACTTTTCATGTGAAATTTTGTTTGGTAAAAAACTGAATGTAGGGTTTTTTTAACCAACGGAATGATTTACTTTTGTCTGTCCTGTTAAAGTTCAGATAAAGCTACTTTATTACATCTGCAAATTTTCATATTTTAGCAGTTGCCTGATAAATTTAATCAAATTTTATTACCATGTGTAGTGATCAAACGCTTCTTTGGGCTTGCATGTAACTGATTAGAAAATACGATGTAAATGAGCCGTTAACTGACGTAAAGAACTGCTATGAATTTGACCAGAGCTGCACTTACCTGTTTCTCTCTCTGCTACCTTTTGCTGTTTGTTACTTTGTGTTGACTTTGACTGTCCCTGGCATATTTTTCCAGTCTAAAGTAAAACAAGAGTCTCGCTTAATATTGTGTATGTTTAAGATAACAGACTGTTCTTCATTTAGAAAGATGAAATTCTTTATCACGAGTCCTTTTAAAAAGAGAGTAAAATTATCTTGTCAGAGGTATATTCGATATTTTTAAGCTTAAGCACCCATCAGTAGAAATTAATCTGATCAGTTTCTCTGTAACACTTTCGATGTCATACACTGACCTTTTAGGGTCTCCATTGGGAGTAGCTGTTGTGGTTTTCTAACAGTGGCTACCATATTATTATAATAATTTTTTTTTTTACGTGTGTGTTCTGCAGTTGAACATTTTAAAATGTATTGGTAATTTCTCACTTTAATTGTGGTAATAGATTCCACTTTACATTTCAAAATTAAATTTAAACGTAAGGCTGCTGTTCAGTCTTTAATTCACATAACGTCTTATTTCCTCATGCAGTAAGGTGAGTGAAAGCTAGATAGTTGGCTTAATTTGAATCGGATTTTTGTCATTTTCTGTAATAATGATGCATTATTTATATTTCCTTTCCCGCTATGAAAGGAAAAACTGTATTCTCATGATGGACTGAACAGTTTGGAGTGGTTTATTTAGGCAGCTTTTGGGAACTATTTACCTAAAGACCAAATATGAGAAATCTGTACAAGTTTTGTGTTCATCCACAAAATGGAACTGTTACAATGTCTCTGCAGATAATGCATATTAAAAAAACTATGAAAAAAAACCAACTCTACACAAGCTGAATTTATAACAGGCATTTAAAAAAAAAGCATAACCTGAAAAGAAACATTTCTGTAAAATGGCAACATTTTCTTTAGAGGTTTTAAAAATAAAAAAAAGTAAAGTTTTAACATACTTTTTTTAAGAAAAAATATCCAGTACTAGTAATTTAATTTGGTGTTGAATGCATTGACTAGAATGTGGTTTATTTTCAGAAGTGAGAATCTGTTCACAACTAGGGCTAGGTGAATAATAGTGTATAAGATTTTTTAAATAAAATTAAATTTTATTCAGCAAATTAACTAAGTTGAAATTACTCAACAAGTGTGTTTGGAATATTTATGTATGTTTTGGGGTGATTAATCCAATTTATGTTGGCAGTGCCGCAGGAAAACGGGATCAGACTGAACAAGGCGAGGTGATCCTTACTGTCAGTTAATGGTAGGCAAAGCTGTACGTGATGTCCTCCTGGGTGGAGGGGGCGATGAGAGTATGGTCTGAGTCCTGATTCTGTAACGCGGTGGTGTTCGGCACTTCTTGGTGCACGTGGAATTTGGCACAAGAAGAACGCGCCTTCGTTCAGATGGATAAACCCTGGGAAAAAGCTGTGGGATGTGAGAAAACTGCTTATGGCCTCACCTAAAGGTAACACACGCTTATCTGTGCTGCTGGTGGTGCTGAAGAACATTCCTGTGGGATAATCTCAGTGCTTTTGACTAACGCAGGCCTCTCTGCCGTACGAGTCAGGCCGTGCTAAACCGAGTCGTTCAGTGGTTGGAACAGAACTGTTCCCTGGTTCGTCCGTGTGTGTGTGTGTGCGCGGGCCCCACTGTTGGCACAGTGACGGTTAAATAGCAAAGGCTGACTGAGGCTCCTGTCACGCTGCTGCTTCCCAGGTGGTGCTCGTGACCTTTCCGAAATTGGTCTTGCGTGCCCATCACCCTGGACTCCTACGGTCCGTATGATCTTTCCTTTGCAAACGGAACATTTCTTCAGGTGATTCATGTGCGTAGAGATTTGACCTCTCTCTAGGAATCGATGCAACTTTGCAGTTACCTTTTGTGTTCTGTGATGCGGTATTGTTTCCTTTTGTGCTCCTTCTAGGCTGCCTGGTCAGTGCTCTTTCTGTTGAGAGTCAGCTTTTGTGTAATCTTTACAATGACTTTGGAAAAGACTTGGAATTCTAACATATGGAGGACCTAAGCGTGCGTTTGTTTCTTAGTGACAGAAGCGTTCATCTCCACTGGCAGTGTGTGCTGTCCTCTTTGCAGGAAATCCCTCTCCCTGTCCCTACGCCAGCTGTGTTTCTGATCCAGCTGTGCCTGGCAGTGGCCCCACATCCCAGCAGGCTTGGGAAGGCAGCAGCACGGTCTCCTGGGCAGTGGGATGTTCTTGCCTTTGGACACAGCAGTTCTGCCTTCATGTGGGCCGTTGTAAGAGCGGCTGTAGATTATCGTATGATCCAGGAACGCGACACGGAGCCTCCAAATCAGAGAGGAGTCTCTGGATGGAGCGGCGTGAAAACTCTTTTTGGTTGGTGTGGGTAGTCTCAGTTCTGGGCTGCTGCCTCCCCCTGCCCACGTGGCAGCACACTTACCGCAGCGGTAGCTGTCGTTGTGATGCCATTTTGAATGATGCTGATGGAGGCAGACACCTCTGCCGTGCTAATCCCAAAAGCTACAAAAGCACTTCTGCTTCATAACCCCCTTCGCAGTACAGGTTGCTGTACAGAGGCAAAACTGGACTTGCACGGTTGTTTCAGTACAGGTTCGTTTTAAATATTTGGATTTTGTAATTACTTAAATCCAAAAGTGGAACTTGAAGTTTCTGCAGTCTCTGTTCAGATTGCTATTTTGTAGCTTGATTTGATTTCTCCCAAAAGGTAAATTTTGAGTGGTTGGTAGCCCTTAATATGGGTTGAGTTGTGAGTTTATATAGTTGTGGTTTTTATATATATATATGTGTGTGTGTGAGATACTTATCTAAATATATATTTATATATATATTTCTCATTTACACTAAATTGAGTGCTGCTTTCTGCTAACCTGACAGACTCCTTTTGAGACACGTCTTAACTGTATAGATTTAACGTTCTTACTAAGAATCCTGCCTTGTGCCTGACACCAAATTAATTGATAAAGGGAATGCCTGGACTTAGTTAAGTGCATGAGTTGCTTTTAACCATCAGGTTCTTGATCTTATTTGTGGACTGGCAGATGAAAACAAGCTTTAACTCCTGCTTTTGCTTCTGCTTGTTTTCTTCCCTAACTGATAATCAAGCCAGACTTTGAATTAAGACGCATTTTTTGTATCAGAGTCACATTCTTGTAGAAGTTGTGTCAGCGTTTGGGGCTGATCTCAGGTCTGTAGCGGGGGGGTTGTATTAGTTTAGTGATCTGATTCTAAGAAAACGTTGATTTAGCACAGACTGCCATACTAACAGATAAATCACTATTTTTTCAAATTAAGTTTAATGAGATGTGCACTTTCTGGAATAATTTTCATTAGTGGTGGTTTGGTTTCTGATCCTCTTTTTAAGCATTGGTTACATTCTTTTTGTTTCTCATCAGAGTTGGGGAAATGCTTTTGTTTAAAGTACTAGAAAAACTTACCAGATTGCTGGGTCTGCTTTCCGTGTGAATACTTCCAAGAGTTGGGGAGAAATCAAAGGAGGGCTACGAAGCTACTGTGAAGGGCTGGAATATTTGAAGCTGAAAGTGCATAACCTGTTCCTTTAACAAAAAGAATGAGGCATTGTGTGAAATTCCACAGGATCTCTTACAGACCAGACCAAACAGAGTCATTGGCTTGTTTAAACAAAAGAAACCTTTGGGGAAGAAGGAAAAAAAAAAAAAGCAGTAAAATGGGGCATTGCAATGGCTTAGTAAGGACGAGGTGGATTCACTAGTGTGACTCCCAAACAAGACCGTCGGGAGTGCACGTTGTTCTCCATCGTTTCGTTCTGCCAGTCCTTTCGCCCTGCAGGTGGGAGAACTAGTCTTGTGTCTGGCGTTCTCTAACTTCACTGATAATCTTGTGTTTTCTACTTCAATGTGAATATTTAAAGGTTCTGAAAGAAATACTCGTTTTCTGTGGCTGCTGCTGCGAGTGCCTGGAATTACCGCAGAATTTATTGCACTGGCTCATCTTTCAGTTTTCCTTTCGGTATTTTGAACAGTGACACAGGTGCTGTGGAAAGAGAGAGCAAAATAGAGGGAGTGAAGGCTTTTAGTCTTTTTAAATACAAAAGAAATTTAAAATCTGTATAGCTGTTCCTGGTGGAAACCCATTGTTTTTCAGGAATAGTCATGTTTTAGACTTCCTGTGCGAATTCTGCCATCCCCACACAGGCTGGCGCAATCTGCACCACTGGGCTGTCTGCCCGCCGTCAGCGGGGCAGTCTCCTGAAGCCAAGTGTTCCTACCCAAGACAACTGTACTTACAGGAATTAGTGGTATTGGAGCTCTGGACTGTAATACTCATCTGAAGCTGACAACTTGGCATTTTAAAATCTGTTTAATCCTCTTTTTGTCACATAAAGTCGACTTCAGGCAGCTCGCCTTACCCCCTTTTGCTCTGCAGCCTCTCGTGGAGCAGGGCTGCATTCCAGTGGCGACTGATGGCTCATTCTGGACTGTTAAAACTTGCCTTCTGGTCAGTGCGTGCCCCTCTTGGGGGAAAGCCGTTCCTCAGCATCCTGCCCTGGGCGCCTGAGTCTTTGCACGAGGCCCAGAGCACAGGTGGGTATCACTGCAGGGTGCCAGGCTCGGCTCTGAGCTTCACAGTGCAACTGGGTGCTGCAGCCACGAGAGCAAATCAGCACGGGGGATAATACCTGGTCTATCTAATACTTAAAAGTACTGTTTCTTTTCCAAAAAAATGACTTAGCTGAAGTACTGTTTCATTTGATTGCAGAGGTAGGTTTATCCTGTATCTCACTTTACCAAAATTTGATTAAATGCACCTACATGATGCAGTACAGCAGAAAGGGGTGTGATGAAGTAACTGGCGGATAAAGCTGGAGTCGGCAGCAGTGGGGAAGACTCATTCTTCTACCTACTTTTCAATCCCTGTAAAACAGCCTGTATACTTCAAGGTAAGGATTTGTAAGTAGTAAAGAAGGAATTTGACATTAGGTATGTTTGGGTACGTGTTAAGGGATTCCATCACTAACACAGCACCATTGTCTGCCTGTGAAGTTCCATGTTATTCTCATTCTCACTGCCACACCAGAACAGATGTTTAGGGGAAGTTTTACAAGTTCAGTGGGGTTTTATTCAACCAAGAAGTGTGCTCCTGGTCTTCTCTGGTCAACCGCAGGGCGACTTTAGTGGGAGGGCAGCTGCCGGAGATGTGCAGAGTGCAGAACGTGTAACAAGAGTGTAGTTTTGTTGCTGTTCAAAGTGGGCGCAGCTGACTGGATCATAAACACCCCACACTGCACCAGGGAACGAGGGTTTGAATCGTCCTTGGAGAATGGTTTCTCACGCTTTAACTGCGCACGCGCTTCTCCAGGGAGAGGGCAGCTTCCCGTTGGTCATGCTACTCATGCAGCTGTTCAAAGGTGAGAAGCTTCAGGACAGCAGCTGCGGTGAATGGTGTGGTAAACAGTGCTGAACAAGAACTGGTTTGCACTGGAAGCCGGACTTGTTTTGGTGTAAATACCTGCGTACGTGTCCAGGCAGTAATTCCTGTACTGCACGTCCTGCGTTTACGGGGCACGGGCAGCACGATGCAGCTGCTGTCCTTCAGCAGCCACTGCTGTTTACTCAGTTACACATTTATTCCCCAAACCTGTGGCAACGGGACCTTTGGCCGTGATAATCAGTGAATACAGCAAAATTAGTCACTTTTATTTAAAAGAAATAACATATTACAAATAAGTGTGCAAAACAATTTCTGTGATTAAATACACATAAAAGCAACATGCAACCTTGACATCAAAATCTGCGTAGAGGTTAGTCCTTAGTATGTTACGTGACACCAAAAGAAACTTGTCAAATTTAGAGTTTGCAGCTAAAGGACCCTAGAAGTGAGCTGGCGTGGCAGAGCTGAAGCAGCTGTGAAGTTGAGGTCCCTCCCCCAGGCGTTCAGCGCCATGAACCCAGAGCTTGTGTCCATCTCAGTTTCTAGTTCAGCAGTAAATATTCATGGCCTGTAACAATTTTAGGAAGGAGCTGACAAGTCAGTCAGTTGAGTCTGACCTACGTGTCCCTTGGCCAACAGTATTTAGTGTGCAACATCTCAAATAAAAAAAGAAAACTTTGCAAGTTTAAAGCCATGGCAGCGATGTACGCTTCCTGCCACCTCGTTCTTTGTGCCGGATGTCCAGGAGGCCTGTCCAGTGTTCCAGGGGAAGCACAGCGATGTTGGAAGCAGTCAGCACAGCTGTCACATCCGTACCGAGAGTGGTTTTTAAACCTGGAATGGCTGTTCCATTGCAGGAGGAATCACCTCTACAAGCGCCAGAGCTCCAGGTGCCCGTACCACGGGAGGCGGGTCGGCCCCTGCCACGTGTGCCTTCGGCTAATCCACACAGTTCGGCACCTTTGGCAGTTAACGCCGATGGCTTGGCCGACAGCCAGAGGGGTCTGGGAAGAGCAGCCCATGGCCACAGGACTACCACCACCCCCCCACCTCACAGCAGCTTGGAGGACAAGCACGGTGCAAACTGCAGCCATGTGCTTGTCCTCCCTGCAGCTCTAAGGGGTGCTCCGGGGAAGGGGGAGGGCAGCACAGCTGCTCCCAGCCAAGCTGTGGAGTCTGATGTGAGCATGACCCATAGTATTCCCTCCCCTCCCCGCCATTCAGTGGAAGTAAAGCAAAGCCTAAAATCCTCTGTTTTCACATCCCTTTTTCTAAGGCCGTGCACGCTGGTACAGCCCCTGCGGAGCGGTAGTGGGGCAGGCACTCGTGTTCAGCTAAAGTCGTTTCACAGTTGAGATGAAGAGAAACCCAAGAGGCACAAGCTTCTTGAAAGCCACATCTTGAAAACTTGAGTTGATGACAGTAACCCAAAGAGATTTTAATGATGAACACTTGCAGAAATGAGAATAAAGATACGTAGTCCACTACTTCAGAGCTTGTTCTGATCGCGTTGGGCCAGGCTTCTCAGTGAGGTCTGCTAAACTGCTGGATCAGAGTTGGACATTCATATACTGTCCTTCCAAAGCCGTAGAACAGCCAAGGCAGCGCTTTGACCCATGCGCCCCCTCAGCCCAGTCAAAGCTTGTCATCTGTCATTTCTAGAAACTGAGCATAGACATCCCTGGAGCATTCCCCTTTTTGGTTGAACAAGAACTTGTAGTAGCTGCCGTCTGCGCATATTGCTGAAACAAAACAGAGCTGTGTTAGCTCAGCTGTCCCAGAGGAACCGTGCTGCTCCTTCAGCCGCAGTTTACCCTGGCTGAGCACCGAAGCCAGTGGAACACACAGTGCAGAGAGGTGGGCTGGAGGAACCCGATGTATGTCAGTGCTCCTGCACACTGTCAGCCTGGCACCACACCCAGGTGCCACCCCGAGCGCTCCCTTGCCGTGCCGGGCAAGGACAGCTCCTGTTCTCAGCCCAGAGGCACATGCAATGTTCTCCCATCTGAGCATTCCCTCCGGCTCACAGCCAGTGCAGTTCAAAACCTGATTCTCCAGGCAGACCCTGGGGAAGCCTCCAGTACTCACCTATGACAGCGTTTGGCTCTGTTCCAAAGGCACAAATGCACGGAGAGCCTGAGGGAACCTGAAATTTGGAAAAACTCCATTTGGAACTGAAGTATTTGGGGAGAAAGCTGGCAGAGGCCAAACTGAAAGAGACAAAAAAAAAAAAAGGCATAACAACTTAGTAAGGTGTTGACTCGAGTAAGTTCAGAACTGCTGCATGTGTGACCAAGTCGCAGGGCTCACACCAGCTGCTGTTTTTATTTTCTGCTGAGCATCAGGTAACACGTGTGAACCCCCCGACCCTGCAACTGCCCGTCTGGGTTTGTGTGTTTAAGTGACTGCGGAAACTGCCAAAAGGATTGATTTTAGTAGAGATTCCTTTGTGTGACATGTCTACAGATTACGTTCATGCTGCAGCTCCACAAGGGACACCAGAAATTGGCAGTTGCTGTTAGGCCCAAAGCTGTAACTCCATGCAAGCAGAGATTAATCTTATCACCTCCAGTAGTGCCAGTATCAGCTACTTGGCAAGACCAGTGTGTTACACTAAAAAGGGGAACACCCGCTGCCCCACAAAGGCTTCCGAACAGCTCAAAGCCCACCTTGACTGCTTATTTCTTTTAGGGTCTTCTGCAGCAAAGATGTGCACTGTGCCATGGTCGCTGGACACGCAGATGAGGGAAGCATCCTGATTGAAGTTAATACTGTAGAGAAAACAGACAGTTGCAGTGTTTCTCCTGGAACATGCCCCCCCAACTTCTGGTGTGCGCAGTTCTGCCACGGCAGTTGCCCAGAGCAGCTGCCAGCCCATCCGTAACGGCTCCTCTCCTGGAGGAGCGGGGACTCCTCCAGTGGAGCGCTGCTGTGCTGACAGGATGGAGAGCCCCTCCTTGGAACAGAGGACCTGCAGCAGACTGCCCTGACACGGACACGATCCGTGTGGGCCACGCTGCACCTTCTGCTGGAAGAAGATGCACGACCTCTGCTCCAAGGAGTAGGCAGGTATTAGATAAAATGTGCAACACTTCTTCCACTGAGCACCACTCTGGGGTACAACGGAGGTTTCCCCACTCCTGGGAGAGGGCTTCCAGGAGTGGGTTAGACTCAAACTTCTGCCTTGGGCTCTCGCATGCAGGTCAGTGCTGTGTTGTAACAAGCCCCCACTCCGCCCCAGGGACTCCTCCCTGGGAAGGCATTCCCCACATTTCAGAGCGAAGCCAGAGTACCTCCCAGCTGCTGTTCTGCACAGAGAAGCGGCCGGCCCAGTGCTACGTTCTGCCCTGGCCCCGTAACGCGCTGGGCTCCACGCGGCCACCCGCTGCAGCTCTGTCCTCGCAGCACGCGGAGGAGCGCAAGCCCGGCACAGCCCTGGGGGCTCCGGCTGCCAGCGGAGCGCTGCCCTGTGCCCATGCCGCGGCTTGGCTTTTTGAGGGGGACTTGGGTGCTGCTCACCAGGTTGCCTCAGCACAGCGACACCCACAAGACGACAAAACAGAAGAGTTAAATGTACCAGTAGATATTGGCTGCCTGCGATCCTCGTCGGAGCTCCTGGATTAGATGCCCTGATGAAGTATCAAATATTCTAATGAGGGTCCCCTTGAAAAGGAATGAAGGATCACATTAGGGAAGACAATACATCTGGGAATGCGGCCAGATGTTCCAGCTGACCTCCATGCTGCTGCATGCACAACTGGGTTTTTCATCTCAGTACATTTAGATTCAAGAGAACGTCTCAATGATAATTTTGGGGAAGAATACTGATTTCCCCCCTACACCCCCTTGCCACAATACTACAACACTTTGCTATCCAGTCTTGCTACTTAGATACTCAAACTTTGCACCCAGGTTTTGCTCTAGAGCACCGGTGCAGCCCTGGCATGAGTCTGCAAGCAGAGCAGACGCGTGTACAGCCAATGTGCCCAGGCTCTGTGTGTCCCTCCTCACTCACTCCTCAGTCTATACTCTATTTCCATTGCTACTGTGCAGTTTTTTTCTACTTGAGTAGAATCAGGCAGTGGCTGCTCTTGCCTTACAATTACTTCTGCAGAAGTAATCTCAAAGAACAAGTTCCCCATCACGCACCCAGTATCTGTACGGACCCACATCTGAGACACCCTACAGATGAGTCAGGTTACAGACAGAACACCACATTGGAAAACTCTACTGTGTTTAGAGAGACTGAGCTTGACACCAGAGCTGCAAAACCAGTCAGTGTGTCCCAAATGAAGTGATGAACGGTTCAGCCGTGCTTTCAGCTAAGGAAGAGTGGGTATACGTGGTCACCTGCAACCCCATTACACGCCTGGTTAACAAATGGGTCTCTGCAGTCACACCAGAAAGAACAGAGCCCAGCAGAGAAAGAGTCAAGTAAACGTCAGCTCGATTTTGAATTAAGACACAAGCTGGAGATGTTTGCCTAGAGCATGGCAGGTTGCCCATACTCTGATTTCGGTGGAACAATGCTGTTTGAGCTTTTTCTCTACGCAAAAAAAGGAAAGTTTCAGTACGAATTTAGCAGATTATTTTTCTATTTAGCACAGGAGTTGGCAGAGCTTTGTTTAGAAGACATACAGTAATTAAGCTCAGTCAAGAATGACTCTGGCTGCATTTTCTTTTTTTAAACTTTTTGAGCTAGAGGCTGTGCAGTAGAAGCTCTCCTAAACAGAGATTCACTCGGATTAACTTAGCTCGTCCTTGAGAAACACCTCAGTCGCGTGGCAGAGGGCAGTGAGCACTCAGTGTGCCTCAGGCACAGGTACATCTACCTCACACTCCTTTGGACACTGGAATTGCGCGTCCTTTGGGAGGGGAAGCCCACTAGCAGGCTCCACTGATGTTCCCATGGAGAAGGCAGGGCTAGGACTTGCTTTGCGTTCTTTCTACATCTGCCCCAGCCCAAGGGGATTTGTACTGTGCAATGCCTTCAGTCTCTTGTCAGTGTACTGCGCTCTTTAGTCCTATGTAACCAGAGACAACTGGGTAAATATTCTAGAGAACCATTTTATCGCTTACACTCTGTATGAAAACATCTGCTGTGTGTGTGTATGAGAAAGCCATAGGCAGCACCCCTCCCTCCTGCTGTGTAACAGGAGCTAAGCCGGAGCAGAACCAAGTCCTCCAGCAGGACAGACCTATTTGCAAATATTTCTTTAGCCAGTGGGTTTACAGGAAACTGAAGCAGAAACTGATAAAGGTGAAGGAATGCAAATCGGCATCCCTCCCTTTTATTTCTAAAATTAATAGTACTTATTGAAGAACACGTGACGCACGTGAACTGCCTGGGCCAGATCTCATTCAAAGGTCGCTGAGGAGTCACTGCTGCAGGCAGCTGCAACACAAACACGGCCTCAGGCACTGCGCCTGGGGGGCTGTTTGCACACCCTGATGGAGCAGCGAAGATAAATTGAGAACGCATGTTTCAATGACAAGTTTTCCAGTAAGATACTTGATCTCCTTCCTACAAATGGATGCAACTTCCTATTGTAGGAGTTACTACACTAGAACGCATAGTAAATCAGAGGTAGGAAGAGATGATTCTTACTTTTTCTGATGCTGTTGCAATTCTTGTTCCCTGCAGGTTTAAAGCTATACAGCTCAAGACTCCTTCGTGAGCTGGTATGTCCACAGGAGGCTTTTCTGTGTTAGCGAGATCCACTATCTGCACGTGCCCAGTATGTGTTCCAGGAAATGCAAGAAGAGAATTATTACTATTTGGACAAAGGACACAGAGACCTAAAAGAAAAAAAAAATATATATTATATATATAACTGTGTAGTTCCCATAACCTAATAAAGTTTTCAAACACAAGTTTCTAAAATGTGGGTAGTTTCAGAATAAGCAAACATACATGTAGTAAACCAGAACTGCATTTTAATGGCTATTGCAGTATCGCAAAACATGATCCGTCCGTAAGTGCAGAGCACAGAGAAGTCAGGGAGTAGCATGATTTTAACTTGCTCTCATCACTTTATTTCAAAGTAATCCAGTTGTGGTTATCCAAAGGCGGGATGTTTTGGAGATCAGCTCCATCAGTCTGTTACTTTAAAAAAATTTTAAAAACTCCTTAGCAGCATAACAAGGGTAAGAGTTTGTAATAGGTGATGTTTTAGTTCCTCCTCCATCAGTAAAACTGATTATATTAATTTGTGTTTGAACTCGGTCCTTATGGCACTTGCACTTTTTTGAATTCCTAACTTCCTGCAGCCACTGCAGGTAAATCCCGTCTCTCCCAGGTGTCCTGCACACGGCCTACAGCTGGCGGAGCAGCGGGTGGGTGCCACCAGAAACAACGTGCTCCGACTGATCTTCCACCCTACACCACCGCCCTGCGGTCAGCGTGCTGACTCTGCGTCAGGCTGAGTGCAGCCCTCAAACCTGCACCTGCTTCTAGCAGGCTTGGAAACCTCTGAAGATGGGGACTCCAAGCCCCAGCAACCTCTGTGTGGAGAAAACATCTTCCTGACATCCAGGCTGATCCTCCCAAGACACCAAGCATGGCCAGCATGGCACTATCAAGAAGAGTTTGGCTCTGTCATTTCTGCAACTGTCCTTCCAGCAGCTGTATGCCACCAGCTGCAGGCAGCCCTTCACACTCCGTTCTGCACGAGCAGACAAGCCCAGCTCCCTCAGCCTCCCCGTGCAGGCCATGTGCTTTTCAGACTCTGGCCACCCTCACAGCAGGGCACAGCTGTGCCTGGAGCCAGATGTTCACACAGCTGCCACTGCACCCCCTCCAGTTTTAGACCTTCCCTTACACACCTGGTCTTGAGCGTGCAGCTGACATGAGAGTATGCCCATCTCTCTACCCTCAAGGCTAGCCTTCCAGAGAGGACCTCTCTTTTTTCAATAAAGCCTACTGCAACAAAACTGTTTCCTTCAGTCAAAGCCCAGCCCTGTCCCTTCTGTGCCCACCTGGAGCCCAGCGCTGGCTCCGCTGCACTGGATGGTGTGTTGCCTGGGGCGCTACCACAGCCTGGTTCACGACAAAGCCACACCTTGCTACTCAAGAAGAACAGCATCAGTTTGCTCGTTTGGCTCTTCTGGACACTATCCAGAACAGTTTGCTAGGCAGCTCTAGCTCCATTAGAAAAGAGGAATGATGCACTTCATTAGTAGAGTTTGTGTTTATAGTTAAGCTTTCAGCACAAAATAGATAAAATTTACAGGTTCTTTACAGAAGAAAACATATAGCTCTTACAGAAATTAAATCTGTAATGTAACAGGAGTACATGAAAAAGCTTTTCTGTGCCAAGTATGAATAAATTTTAATAACCGTTTTATAAACACAAAAGCATCTCCAAAGGGCATGACTATAGTACATAAATAAACTTTTAATGACTTAGTAAATGAAACTGATTCAGGCAGCTGAAGACAAACAGCATGTCAAGAACAGAATAAACTCGCTTCCCCTCCCAGCCCACACATACAACTGACCTTTAGGGTTGTAGCAGGTTTCAAAGACGTGCAACTGGTGGGGATTGTGTGTGAATGTGAAAACTTTGATCATCGAGTCCAAGACTACCACAATTCTGAAACAGACAAGAAGTTCCTATGACTTGGGTGGGTAAAAAATTCAGATCTGCAAAGGCTTTCAACTGCTTTAATGGCTGTATGCTCCCCCCCCATGCACTCATAGCCTTGCAAAAGAACCATGCAACCACAAGCCTGCAAAGCTGCACTTTTATCCAAAGCTGTGACAGCAGAACCTCTCCACCCACAGACTCCAGCTGCTAATAGGTGCTCTTGCTCTAGAGATCCATTTGAAT